GGCGCCGGCTACGTGCTCAGCAGGGAGTCCCTGCAGCGCTTCGTGGGGGCCGTGGCCTCTGGCACCTGTGACCACACCAGCGCCGTGGAGGACGTGGCCCTGGGCCAGTGCCTGGAGAAGCTGGGGGTGGAGGTGGGAGACTCGCGGGACCCCCAAGGCCGAGAGACCTTCCACCCCTTCTCACTCGAGACCCACCTCACCCACCACTTCTCCGTGAGCTTCTGGTACCGCAGCTACAGCTTCTACCCTGTTGTGGAGGTATGTGGCACCCTGGGTGTCCCTCTGTGTCCCCCTGGTCTGGGAGGTCCCTCCTCTGGCCTGTCTGCAGGGGTGGAGCTCCGTGGTGGCCACCAGGTCCCCAGGTGTGGCTAGAGGTTCCCCACTCGTGGTCATGGTTCCCCACGCACAGCAATGAGCTGTCACATGGTCAGCTTGTCCCCACGGTGTGTGGCCACAGACCCCTTGCTGTGGTCACCATCCTCCTCAGAGGGCCACCACCTTCAGCCACAGCCAGCTGTCCCTGCAGTGAGTGGCCACCATCTTCCTCACATGGCCACTGTCCTCAGATGGCCACCATCCTCCAAGCATGGCCACCATCCTCAGCCATAGCCAGCTGTCCCTGCAGGGCATGGCCACCATCTTCCTTGTGTGGCCACTGTCCTCCTCCGATAGCCACCTTCCTCCTCAGGTGACCACCATCCTCAGCCATGGCCAAGCGCCCCCACAGTACTTGGTCACCATCCTCATATGATACAATGTCCTTTGCATGGCCACCACCCACCTCCCACAGCCACAGTCCCCATACGTGGGCCTGTCCATGCCCCTTGGCGATGCTATCCCCACCATCCGCAATCACAGTCCCCAGGCAGGACCATCGTCCTCTCACTGTGGTGTCCCCCCCAGTACTTTGGTGTCCCCTGCTCTGTGCCCACATTCCCCCACATGGGGCTGTGACCCCCTGTGACCCCCCCACCATGGTCTCTGCTCCTCCCAAACCCCTTGCCCTGGGCACCAACTGGGGGAGGACTGGGTCCCTGCTGTCCCCCCAGCCCCACCCGTGTCCCCCCAGGGTCCCCAGTGCTGCTCAGACCTGTCGGTCTCGTTCCACTACGTCCCCGGCGCGCAGATGTACGAGCTGGAGTACCTGACCCACCGCCTGCG